ACCCCCTCCACCCTTCCTGCTCCTGCTCGGACCACTGGGGAGCCCCGGTGATTTCTGTGGTCAGCGCAACAGCCCCACCTTAGTCCGAAGCCTCCCGCAGATCTCCGCGAGGGCAGTTACCTGGTGTCGTACTCATCCGAGTGCAGGTCAAACTTGTAGGTGGGTTTAAACTTCAGGGGGCCCTCCGAGAACTCCTGGAGGAAGAACGTCTTCTTCCTGGCCATGTTTAACTGGGAAGGGGAAGCCATTCATTGCTGCGCTTCCTCCTGGGAGCCACGGCAAGGAGCCACGGCAAGGAGCCCCCCTCCCCCGCCAGGAGAGAGAGACAGACTGGCACGCAGCTGCCCCTTCGGAAAAGGAAGAAATGGGGGTGGGGGGGGGGGCACACACGGTGGGGGGGATTGGCCAGGCAGGATCAGGAAGCAAGACGAGCCACTCCATTCAAAGGCCGAGGGGTCTGGGAATCCCAAGGGGAGGGAGGGCAGGCTGGGGGTGGGTGGGGGGGGGGGGGGGGAGGTACGAGGACAGGCAGTACCTGGTCCTTCTCCCAGAGAAGGTTGAAGCGGCTGCTGCTGATCGATTCTCGGATAAAGTGCAGCCCGTAGCCCTCGATCCGGAAGTTCAGATCACCAAACCAGAAGAGGAGCCTGAAAGGATGCGGAGAGCAGCGGGGAAGGGACGGCCCCTCTACGCCCTCCTTGGCTTCTCCCAAAAGCAACCGACCCCCCCCCCCCCCCCCCCCCCCTCCCCCCCTCGCCAGAGCCAAGAGCCCCCCTGGGCACCAACCCTTCCAAAAGGCTTGTGGGGCTTTCAGAAGGGCAGCCCCCTCCCCCGGGAGAGCCACGAGGGATCTCCAAGCCAGCAGACCAAGCCCTCCCGGTGCCAGCGACGCTACGGGTAGCCTCGGATTTGGCTAGAACTATTTGGGAACTGTTCTGAGTCGGCTTAGGGCTGAAATGCAGATTAAAAAGGGTCTGGGATAACAGGGACCACATCGCATAAAGCGGAATGCGAGGCCCACTTTGGAACGGTTCGGTTTTCAAAACTGTCCCTTCCTTTGAACCCCCGCAGCTGACGGCTACCGGAGGGCGGCTCTGGAGGGCAACCAAGTGGCAGCGAAGGCAGATGCTCACCCTCTCTGGACTCTCCTTTCTAACCCTCCCCCATTTCTCTCCTTCTTCTGTGCCAGCCCCTCTCCCCTCCCCCCAGCCCCCTCTGCTGTTCCTTGGCATCGCCCCAGGGGGGCGCCATCCGCAAGGAGAGCAGCCGAACAGCCGCAGGGCCCTCTGGGGAGGCCACTCACTCGTGGTCCAGGGCGGAAGGGAACTTCTTCTCTTCGAAGTGCTGCATCTCCAGGATGTGTTCAAAGTCATCCAAGCGCTGCTTGGCGTTCTCCTGGTGAGCTGGCAGGTGGCAGTTCAGGAAACAGACCGAGCGGCCGTAGAGAGACAGGCGGATGGAGACCCCTCCCTTGTTGCCCTACGAGACAAGAAACGGCGGCTGCCTCCGCACTCCCGGGCTCCGTGGGGCGCACGAGGGGCACAGTTTTCGACACTCTGCCAGGCTGAAGCCCTGCCTTCAGGATGGACAAACTCACAAAGAACTAAACTGCAAAATACAGGCAGCCCTCGATTTGCAGCCACTCCTGTAGCAACCTTCAAATTTTGCACTGAAAAAAGTGACTTAGAAGCAGTTCCCATGCTTGTTGTGGCCATTGCAGCATCTGCACAAAGTGAACCAATCTGGGGAGCTTGGCGACCAGCATGTCCTTAGGATGGCTGCTGCATCCCCGCCAAAGGAAAGGCCAGAGTCTCGCTTAATGACCCCAGGAATGCAAGGGCAGCAATTTTAACAACCATAGTAAAAAGACCAGAAAAGGGGGCGCAATTCGCTTAGCAACTGCCTTGCCTAGCAATGGAAACTCTTGGGCTTCACTGTAGTCGTAAGTCGAGGACTACCTGTACATCAGGAGCAAGGGTGCGACCCCTAGATTGCCGTGGCGTTTCTTCATCCCTTTGTTGACAGTCGCCCTGTGGCCAAGAACCTGGATTCAAGCATCCGGTTGAGCTACGCCTTCTTTGGCAGGTGCCTCAGGGGGGCTCCGGCAGGAGATGCTCCCCAACACCCGTGAGGGCCACCAGGAAGCTGGGGCTTCTCCTGGCTGCCCAGCAGGGGCAAGGCTGGCCCGGTCTCTGAATGCCTGCTTCAGCCAATTTCACAAGCTTCTGCTTTTATATTTCACATCGTGTGTGTTGGAATGACTCGCTTTGGTGCCTCGAAGCAGGAAACACATATTTTCAAGCAATAAACCCCCCCTACCTGAGGATCTCCATTGCTACTGATTTTACTGGGGCTTGAAAGCTGTCAGGGAGTTATCAGCCAGCTTTGCAGGTTTTCCTTTTGCAATTAGCATTGCAAATTAAATACCGCTTATTGCATATTAGCTCTTATCGGGGTGTGAAGTTTGCCACTTTGCCTGCCTCCATTAGAAAGATGGAAACATACAAAAAACATTTAGGCAAAAACCAAAGGCATGCGTGGATGCGTGCGTGGACGCTTGGCCACAGCGGAATTCGGCCTTCCTGTATTTCCTGCATCTACCGTACCTGCAGCTTTAACCGACTGGAGGCCTGGCAAGGTCCCTGTGAAGCAGCTCACCCAGTAGCCGTGCAGGCCGGTGCGGGTAAACTGGCTCCGCACACTCCGGATGAAGGGCAGGTGGGCTTGCTTGGCGAAGAGGATGAGGACGATGCCCTGCATGCGGATGGAAGACACCTGAGAGCGGAGGAGAAGCAGCCCTGAGACATGGAGACGGTGCCACTTGCCACCCTCGGCTGGCAGCGAATGCCCAAGGCTGGTGGTGATGCCCAGAGATTACAATGGTGGGGGGCAGGGGGGGAAACAAGCCCGTCACCCTCCAGCTTTGTGGCAAAAGCACCCCCAAGAGCCGAGATCTGTGCGGGAAGGCCAGAGAATCTGCTCGGGACCCCTCAGACCTCCGGGGCAGGACGGGCTGTGGATTCAAAGCCCCCAGTTGGGGCTACATGCCCGGGAGCATTTCAGACCAGGGACCCGGGGGGGCCCGCCGGCTTTGCCCTCCAGCAGCCCGCCCGACCCTCTCGGAGGCCCCCTTTCTTGGGCACGAGGGGCACCCCGGGGCCCTCCCGGAACCTCCAAGCAGCCCGGGGGCCTCTCCGCTTACCCGGACGTAGCCCAGCGGGGCGAGCGCGGCCGTCAGCGCGGCCGTCCAGGGGTCCTCGAAAGCCAGGTCGGAGAGGAAGCTCAGGATCCGCGAGTTCACCTCCTGTAAGCTGAGCAGCGGAGGCGCCGGTGAGGCACCCGGCCGGGCCAGGAGACACCCGAAGCGCCGCCGCCGCCGCCGGAAACCGTCCGAGGGAAGCAGAGCCACCAGCCAGATCTCCCCGCCGCCGCTTCCCGGGGCCGGGGGAGGGCGGGCAACCGCTGGGCTCGCGGGGCGGCGCACCTACCCGATGGCGTAGAGGTCCACGGGCGGCTCCGGGGCGCCGAGGCGAAGCAGGGCGGCCACCTCCCCGGGGGGCTGCGCGGTGCCCACGTTCCAGGTGACCAGGTGCAGCCTGCGGGGGGGAGGGAGGGTGGGGGAGAGAGAAGAGGGGTGTCAGCCCGGCGGCGGAGGGGACGCGGCGGGGCAGGCGGGCAGGCCGGGGGGGGGGGGGGGAAGCTCCTCACCGGAGCCGCTGCGCCGCCGCCTCCATCTCCTCCGAGGCGGGGAAAGCAGGATGAGAGCGGCGGCCAGCGCCGGGCCAGCTCCTCGCCCGCGCACGACGTCACCCGCGCCCATTGGTTGCCGCGGCGCAGGCGCAATTTGCCCGGGTCCCGCCTCCGCCGCCGGCCTCTCGCGCCCCGCCCGCCCGGGGGAACTTGCCGCATGCGCAAGGCGGCCCCGGGAGGCAGGTGAGGCGCCGCTTCCGCCTTGGGAAGGGCCGCGGTGCCCGGTGGCCTCTCGGGCCGGGAAGAGGCTGGAACCCACGAAAGGCGGGCCCTGAGTCGAGCCGGGATGGCGGGGGGAAGGGTTCCGCGGATGGTCCGGCGCCTCTTCCCTAGGGGAACCCGGTTTGGGCCTCCCACCGTCGGTCCGAGACCCCCGGCCTCCCTCCCCTGCCAAGGGGTGATGCCTGGTGGCTCCGTGCGCGGCCCCGCCGCCAACCCCTGTACGGGCAGTCCTCGCTTCCCGACCGTGCATCGTCCAGTGACCGGGGAAAGCGGCCCCTCGGCGGTCCTTCTAATCCTCCGCGCCGGCCGCCCCCTCCCCCGCAGAGCAGGCGGGAGAGAAAGAGATCGCAAGGCTTCCTCTTCCCCCGCAGCGTCCCCCGACTGGTCCCGGTCCGCGGCCTGGGAGGGACAACCGACCCGTGCAAGCGAAGCTTCGTCTGTGCGTGTGCGGGGGTGTTCAGGTGGGCCCGCCCCGCCTGCAGAAAACCATTTTTCTTCCGAAACCGGATCCCGGTGCCGGAAAGGTCGGGGACCACCGAGGGTGGGGGAAGTCATGGGCGTCCTATGCAAAGGGCGTGTGGGGCGCACACAGAATGGCCTGTACAGCCATGGCGGGGGAGGGGGTCGAACTCGATTTCAGGGAGGGCCGCATCGGGGGCGTGGCCGTCATGACGTCACGTGTGTTGGAGGGCACCTGTGGCGGCCCCAGTGCTCTGCCAGCGAAACCTGGGACTGGAACAACTGGTAACCAACAATACTAGACTTAACAACTGCCTCGATCTCATCTTCTGCAATAGTTTGAATTCAATTTACGGAATATAAATTAAAGAACCCTTTTCCAACAGTGACCACAGCATGATCGACTTTTGTCTCAACATACATCCACACAAAAATCAACACAATGATGTGATCCCCAATTATAACTTCAAAAAAAGCAACTACGATCTTATAGATAATGATCTCTCATCCCTTGATTGGCAATTTCTATTCACTGGATGCAATACTGTTGAAGACCATTACAACATATTTTTACTTGAAGTCAAAAGAGTCATCAAACTATATGTACCATTAACAACTCCAAAACCCAGAAAAAACAGATTACCCATAACAATAAGGAAGCTTCGATCCAAAAAGAGATCACTTTGGCGGAAAAACAAATCTGGTCACGTTGCCAACTTCAAAAGCTGATACAAAAATTTATGCCACCAGATAAAGACTGCACCAATTATCACATTAAACAAGAGGAAAACCTTCTACGCACCAATTCCACCCACGCTTTCTACAATTTTGTAAACAACAAAAGACTCAAGGTCCATCCCACCCCTGAAAGGACCTAATGGTAAAGACTGCAATGATGACACTATTAAAGCCAACCTCTTTAACACATTCTTTGGCTCAGTAATTGTAAACAGCAATGGATCATGCCCAGTATTTCCTAGTCAAACCACAGACAACTACAATGATCTAATACATATCGATTTTACAGTAGACAATGTTGAAAAATCACTACGCAATCTAAAACCATCTCTATCTATTGGACCGGACAGAATATGTGCCTATTTCTTAAACAAGCTATCCACTGCCATAGCCGAACCTCTAAGCATAATCTTTGAAAAATCTTTCAGGACCTGCTCCTTGCCTAACCTATGGTCACAAGCCACGGTCCTCCCCATCTTCAAAAAGGGAGACCCCAGCCTAGTTGAAAATTACAGACCAATCTCTTTATGCTGCCTCACCTGTAAAGTCATGGAATCAATTATTAACCATCCATTATCCTCCACTTAGAGACAATCTACTGTCTAATAAACAATTTGGTTTCAGAAAAAAACGTATCCTGCAATCTGCAACTCTTACACTGCAAAAACATATGGACTACACAACTGGACCAGTGCAAAGCAATAGATGCAATCTACATAGCCTTCTGTAAAGTCTTTGATTCAGTGGTACACGACAAACTACTCCTAAAACTAAAATCTTATGGTATCTCTGGACAGCTGCATAACTGGATAGAAGCATTCCTGTCAAACAGACAACAAATGGTCAAAACTGGGAGCGTCCTATCAAATTCTGTACCTGTCAACAGTAGTGTCCCCCAAAGCAGTGTTCTAGGACCAACTCTCTTCATACCCTACATAAATGACCTCTGTGATCATATTAAGAGCAACTGCGTTCTCTTCGCTGATGATGGAAAGCTATTCAACACCACAGACAATACTGCTACCCTTCAAAAAGACCTATGGTCAATCAAATGGCAACTTCAAATTTCAACAAACAAATGTTCTGTCTTACATATTGGCAAAAAAAAATCAGAAAATAAAATACAGGCTGAATAGTCAAGACCTTGTTGATGACCCAAACCCTGTCAAGGACCTTGGAGTACTTATCTCAAATGACCTAAGTGCTAGAGCCCACTGTAACTACCTAGCCAAAAAGGCATTAAGAGTTGTTAACCTAATCTTACATAGCTTTTTCTCTGGTAATATTACAGTACTAACTAGAACATACAAAACATTTGCTAGACCAATACTCGAATACAGCTCATCAGTCTGGAACCCATATTACGTATCTGATATTAACACAGTTGAGAAAGTCCAGAAATATTTCACAAGAAGAGTTCTCCATTCCTCTACTCGTTGCAGAATACCTTATGCCACCAGACTTGAAATTCTAGACCTAGGAAACCTAGAACTACGCCGCCTTCGGTCCGATCTAAGTATAGTATATAAAATCATACATTGCAATGTCCTACCGGTCAATGAATCCTTCAGCTTCAACCATAACAATACAAGAGCAAACAATAGATACAAACTCAAGGTTAACCGCACCAAACTTGATTGCAGGAAATACGACTTCAGCCACAGAGTGGTCAATGTCTGGAATACTCTACCTGACTCTGTGGTTTCTTCCCCAAACCCCCAAAAACTTTAACCTTAGACTTTCTACTATTGACCTCATCCCTTTCCTAAGAGGTCTGTAGGGGGCGTGCATAAGCGCACCAATGTGCCTACCACCCCTGTCCTATTGTTTCTTTTATTTTTCTTATATGTATCTGTTCTGTCTCACCTGTGACCACGAGGTGAGAGTCCAAATTTCCAAAGGAATATAAATAGACAGGACCAGGAACGACAGAGTTAAATTCCTTTGGCTGGAGAAGTCCTTGACAGTCTTCCAAAAGCTGCCTGCCAAGTCCGATAACAAGACAAGACCATAAATCAAAGGCAAACGCCGCACAGAGAATTAGTCAAAGCTTCAATCCCAAATAAACAAGTTGTCCCGAACAAGGATTCAGAGCTAACATGCCCCCTTTTATTTCCTGAGGGGCGTGTCAGTCTCTCATCTCAGTCCCTGATTTGACATTTCCTTTTACGTTGCATTTCACGTCTATGTCTACGTCTTTGCCTTGCATCAAACCAACATTCTTCAGTCAGAGGCTCCGCTACGCTCTCCTGATTATCTGCCGACACCTGAGGCACAACCAGGGAGGAAGGTCCTGGGGAGGAAGATGATTCTGAATCCTCCAGCAAAGCAGGCTCAAACCTCAGAGCCAAATCCTCCTCTTCCTCCTGGCTCAAGTCTGTGTCTTCCAGCAAAGCAGGCTCAAATCTCGAGGCCAAATCCCTCTCTTCCTCATTGCTCAAGTCTGTATCTTCTAACAAGGCAGGCTCAGACCTCCGAGTCACAACATGTATCCATGTATTCATAACTATGTTTTTACTTATACCTATTATCTTGTAAGCAATTGACAAACCAAATAAAATAAAAATAAAATAAATAAATAAAACGGAGCTTGGGAGGCACCAGGGGCCAATCCTCTGCTATCTCCAGGGCAGTCCCCTGGGCCTTGAGTTTGATACCCCTAGTGTATAGGATCCCAGCCTCCAGTCTCTGCTCTGTTGGGACGAGGGAGAAGATTTCTGTATTTCATCATCATAATAGAAACAAAGACTTTGAGACTAGAAAGAATGTAGAGCAAGATGATTAGGGGACAGTTGGAGGCCAAAGAACAGATTGAGTATGTCCAGCTTAATGAAAAGGACGGGGCGACATAGCATTTTCCAATATTTCAGGGGCTACCCAGAAAAAGAGGGGGTCAACCTATTCTCCAGGACGCCTGAAGGTGGACAAGAAACAACCGATGGAAGCTAATGAGGAGAAAGGCAACCTAGAACTAAGGAGAAATTTCCTGACAGTGAGAACAATTAATCAACTTTTTAGTTCTGCGTTTAACACAATTTTTCCACATAAGACTAGTGTCTAAACTTCTGGACCTTGGCCTTTCTTATTCAATCAGCCTTTGGATTATGGATTTCCTGTCTGGCCGCTCACAGAGGGTCAGATTAGGTAATCATACCTCTTCAGCCCTTAACACTGGTACACCACAGGGTTGCGTGTTGAGTCCCTTACTCTACACTCTTTATGTGCATGACTGCATTCCAACTCACGCTAGTTAATACTATTGCTAAATTTGCAGATGATACAACAGTGGTGGGACTTAGGGGTGGGGGGGATGAGTCTGCCTACCGAGATGAGGTGGACCAACAGTTGCATTCGTGGTGCCGAGACAATAACTTGGTCCTCAACATCAATAAGACCAAGGAGTTTATAGTGGATTATAGAAGGAACAGATCAGACATCCAGCCCTTGTTTATTAATGGAAACCAAGTGGAGCAAGTGGCCAATTTTAAGTTTCTGGGTGTTACCCTAAAAGAGGACCTGACCTGGGAGGCTCACATTGCAGCCCTGGTCAAAAGGGCCCAGCAAAGATTATACTACCCGAGGCTTCTTAGAAAACAACTGAATGAAAAACTGCTGGGGACCTTCTCCCGCTGCACCATAGAGAGCATATTAACTTACTGCACCTCTGTATGGTTTGCCAATTGCACAGGGGCAGGTAGGAAAGCACTCCAGAGGGTTAATGTCATTGCCCAGAGGATCCTGGGTTGCCCTCTCCCCTCTTTGGAAGAGCTTCATAGCTCCCGCTGCCTTAAGAAAGTTCAAAACATTCTCAAAGATCCATCTCATCCTGGGAATCCTTTTTTTGAACTATTACCATCTGGCAGACGGTACAGAATAATAAAAACAAGGACAAATAGGCTGAAAAACAGCTTCTATCCCAGGGCAGTAACTCTATTGAATTCTGCTGTATAGTGCAGTGTTGGTGTGTCAGAGGTTTTCAGTTCAATGTGTGAAGGGTGAAGGATGTGTGTTTGTGTTTATTTCCATGGTCATGATGTGCACTGAAGATGGTGTTTGATTTCGTTGTACGAGGTGCAATGACAAACTAAACTAAACTAAACTAAAACTAAACTTGCTTGCAGAAGTTGTGCCCCAACACTGGAGGCTTTTAAGAGATTGGACAACCATTTGTCTGAAATAGAATAGGACCTGCTTGACCAGGGGATGGGCTAGAAGGCCTCCAAGGTCTCTTCCAACTCATTCTTCTGATGTATAGATGAATAAGCACCTCCCTTGAAATCTCTCCAATTCCTCTGCTCTGCTCTGCAGTGGGCAAGAGAGGGTCAGGCAAAGGAGAGATTTCCTATAGAAATTAGTTGCTCCTCATTCTTGCAAAACAGAGAACGGAGCTTTCAGGATGACCAAGGCGGCTCCCCAAAGGAGGGGAGTAGCTAGGAGGCTTTCCAAAGTTGTGGAATTTACTAGTCTTGTCTCCTTCCAGCAGGAAAGCGCGGTTGTAGCCACCGGATTTCCCACTTTGCAGCTGTTTCATTTAGGGGCAGAATTGCCACACTTAATTGGGTTCATTCAATGAGGACTATCTATATGACCTCCCAGCTGTCACTGTAATTGATTCATGGAAATTAATATCAGAGAGGTGGCATAAGGGGTAAGGAAGAGATTGAATTTCCCAAACCCCAGTATCCCTCAGAACAAAAACTCAGACAAGGTGCTCTTCTGTCTATGATTTTATTAAGAGTTATCTCCAATAGGCCTGTATTGGAAGATTGGGAGACCAAAAAAGGCACAACTCACAGTAAAGAAACAATGAAGATCATCTAACCTATCCTACAGAGCGGATGCCAGAGAAACAAACAGCACGGGGAACCCAGCTGGACTGGTCAGGGAGTCCTTGCAGGGTCGGCAGAAAAGAAACAGAGAAAAACAAGAGCATGCTACAGGGAGGTGGGGGGGGGGGGCACGTGTTGACCCGTCGGAGCTTCGACCATCACAACACAAAGCAAGTGGAACCTGCTGTTTGCGTCTCAGCACTCAGCTTGTAGCTCCCCCGTCACAAGCCCCTTTCAGGGTTGAGGATTCTGGACCGCAAAACCAGATGCAACGCAACGCACGGGAGCAGCTGCATTGACCCCCATCGCCACTTGCTCTCCTTGGCAGGAAACAAAGGGGAGGGGGCAGTGACCACTGCCAAGGGGGAACAGAGGGCTCTGCAGGAGAGCCTCAGCTGCAGCTGGGGAGGGGGCGCACTGGGTCAACTCCAACGCAGGACACGCAGTGGGGCAGGGTCTGCACTTGTCTTGCTGCTAAGCAAGGAGGTTATGTTTTAATAAGAATTCTTGCCTTTTCCTACTAGAGTCATTTTAATTCCCTCCCTCGTCCTCAAAATGTCACCATCTGTTCCCAGAGATGCTCTGTCCCCCGCCAGAAAGCCTCCGAATTAAACCCAAATCTTTTAAGCAGATCCTCTTAGCCACACAATAATTCTCTATGTTGTAGTTCTCTCCGTTTTGGAGGGGAGAGGATTACTAGGCGCCCGCGTGCCTCAGAGGAGAGGGAGGACCAGTGGGGGGACACAGCCGGATCCCAAAGAACTTGGCCTGGCCGGCCGGGGACATTCCAGCCCCGCTTTAATTCTGCCTCCTGTGCCCAGGAACCACCAACTTCCTGAAAAGCCCCCTCGGCTCAACGCGAAAGCCATAGAGGCCCTGCCAAGGAAGACCCCTTGGGCCACAGCAGGACAGGCTGGCTTATTGCACTTAAGGCAAGAAACTAATTGGCAGGCAAGGAATGGGGGAGAGCGGGGAGGGGGAAGCCTCTGTCCTCCCCAAAGCCCACTCCCTAACCTCTCCTCCGACATTGCTGCGGAGGCTGAGGCAGAGATCCAGGGATGGAATCCCCACCCCCCACCCCACTGCGGTGGGCGTTTGCTCCCCCTTGCTCATGCGATCGTCTGAAGGGGAGCCCAGTGCCAGGGTGGGTCGGGGACCTTTTCCAAAGGCCTAAATCCCAATTCAGGCGACCCCAGGAAAGAGGAGCTGAATGTGGTTTGGTCAGATGAGTGAGACCCTCCCCACTCAGAGGGGAGAGGGGCTTCCACTGTTGTTCCTGAGCTCCAGGACACACAGTGCCAAAGAAGTGGCGGCAGCCGCGGGGGGGTGTGTGTGGGGGGGGGGGGGGTAAGGAGAAGTGACCACAAGGTGATTGGGGAAACCGTGTGCCAACAGCCAAACCTGCACCGAGGGGCCCAGAGATGCACCCAAGACAAGAATAATCTTTAGAGGAAAAAGGCTTCCGGATCGCAGCATTTGTGGCGCTCAGCGCTGAGCTCCCGTCTCCACAAGTGCGGTGCCATCCAGGATTCGGAGGAGGGGAAACACAGACAGGGACCAAGGAACTCTTAAATCACCACACCACGAAACTACTTCAAAAAAACCTGCCACTTGGAAACCAAAGAGTCACATGAGAACCGGTGTGTGCCCCTCCCTGGGGAAACGGGGTAGTCACAGAAGCAGCTGTCCTGAAGGGCCGCCTCTTTCCCGGGCACCGCGGCCCGGGCGCTCAGGACCAAAGGATTTGCTCACTAGATTAAGGGCAACTAGAATTAGCAAGGGGGGGCAGAAGTTGCCGGCTGACTGGAGGAAGAGGGCTTGAGTGTCCAGAGACGGTCCGCTGGTCAAGAGGGTGGAGTTCCTGGGCCTTCCCACAGAGTCTCTCGCGAACTGCATGGAGAGAGAAGGAAGGAGTGGGCCAGGGGCTGAAAGGCCAGCCGAGGGGCACCGCCAAGCAGTTGTGGGCATCTGGGACCCTGCCTGGAAAAGGCTCTGCCTCGTTCTGACCGCCAGCCAGCCCTCAGGCCCCCCCCCTCAGCCCTATGGGCTCTTCCCACCCCCCCATCATGGGTCCGATTTGATGGGAGACAGCACCGTTAGCCCCCCCCACCCCCAGCTTCAGCTCCTCTTTCCGAACCTGGGAGCAAGTGCAAGTGCCGGGCACCCTTGGCCACGTACCATGTGGGAAAGGAATCCCCGCTACTCATCTGCAGCTGACATGCCTTTCAGAGGGTCCCTCTCTCTCATCTGTGGCAGAGAAGGAAAGGTGAGGAAGGAAAGGAGGCCCAGGTGGGAAGCCCACCACCTCAGGCCCACCACCCCTGAAGCGCCCACCTCATCCAGCTGCCTCTTCGTCTCGTCCTCCATCCTGCGAATGTCCTCCATTGTCAGGTCAACCCATCTGTCAAGCCAGCAGAACAGCTGCCGGTGGAAATTCGTGAAAAGCCGCCTCTCTTGCTGCAAGAAAGCGGGAAGGGCCCCTGAAGCTCAAAGGAAGGCCAGCCACGCTTGGTCAAGGGAGGCCACCCCCCCCCCCCCCCCCCCCCCCCGAAACAGCCTCGTCCTCCCAAAGGGCCGGGAGTGACTCACACGGCCCAAGCGTGCTGCACCCTCTGCAGAAACGCCGCCAGGGAACGGCTGGTAGCTTCTGCAGCAAACTCTGCTCACCTTCTGGATGAAGTTCTCGATTTTGTTTTGCAGACCCCACCACTTGAACTTGACTGTGACGAGCTTGTAAGCACACATGTAGGGGCATTCGGCCTGCTTGCCCAGCTCCTTCTGAGAAGACAAGAGGCCAGCGGCCACTGCTCAGCTGGAGCCGCCCCACAGCCAGGGCGGCCATCCTCCTCCCCAGATCGGCATGGGTGGTCCCGGGGGGGGGGCTCCTTGGCCACCTCCCCTCCAGCTGTAGTTCTACTCAGCCCCCGCCCCCAGGCAAGCAAGAGGGGCTCCCTACCTTCCAGTTGGGGCCCAGAGGGCCACGGCCAGTCTTGACCGACTTAAATTTTGCTGGGTCTTCTTCTGGCTTGTAGTCCTGCTTGTAGTTGGACAAGAGAAGAACCAGAACGTTACGGAAAGGAAGAGAACTCCCCGCTCCATGCCACGGAAGGTTTCTTCTTCTTCCAGGCTCTGAGGAACCTCTAAAGAGGGATTGCTCCCCACCCTCCTCCTTCTCCCTCCCTCCTTCCCTTCGCTCCTCTCTGCCCTCCAGCCTGGTGGGGCTGCAGGCTCCATGCCAGTGAAGCCATGTGAACCAGGACAGAGTCCTTCCAATCCCCCACCCCAGATTTCAAGCCAGCAGGGATGCCCTTCTCAACTCCAGTTTTTCCAGTGGAGGAGAGTGGCCCCCTCCCCTCCACTGCCCTACCCTGGAAAGCACATGGCTCCGGTCCGCAATGTCTATATAAACGGCCTCCACGTTCTTCCACTCCTCAGGATCCAGTTTATGGACCTGCAGGGACAAGGAGGGGCAGGTGTCAGTCTACCCCCGAGGCTCCCCTCCGCTGCAGCTTTCGGGACATCCCTGAAAGTGATTTTGGGTTTTTTTTGGGGGGGGGGAGAGCAATTGCAAAAGAATTCCTGAGGAAAATTACATGCAAGAACAAACTGCAAATACAGAAAGTGATGGAGTCAAGAGGGTTCAAAAGGGGCAGCCAGGCGTCCCTTTCCTCCTTGCAAGCAAAAAATGGGGGTGGGGTATGGCAGTAGACCACCCGTCCCCCTCCTCCACCCCGTTCCTGCCAGAAAAGCCCCCAGGAGGGTCCCCAGTGTAGTTGCAACCCCCCCCAGCACACTTACATTCTCCTGCATGCCCATGTCTGCTTTGTGCCAGGTTTCAATTTTGATCAGGAAGTCATCCTTCATGTACTCATTCTGCCCAGGAGAAAGTCCGTTCAGCTGGGAAGGAGGGGCGAGGCCTGCAACCCCAGCTGGGCTCCTGCACGCCCTGGATCTCTCCCTGGGTCGTCCCCACCCCCCTTCTGAGAGCCCCTCAGGAGGAGGCAATGGATCCAGGCTGCACAAGCCTTGCTCTGCCCCCCTGCCCCAGACCCAAGGACTGGCTGAGGCCCCAGGGCAAGAGCAGGGCTGCCAGGCAGGTGCACCCAGTGGAGGCGGGGGGGGGGGAGTGTCTCTCCCAGCTCTAAGAATAATTGGGGGGCGCAGAGCCGGGAAGACGCAGCCGGCAGAGGAGGGTCTCCAGGGGGCCCAAGAGCCTGGAGGGAAGCCAGGGACAGGGACGCCTGCCCAATCCCTGGAAGGGAATGAGGATGAGCCGGAAGAGCTGGGGTGCTTCTTCCCCCCCTTCTTGCCTTCCGAGCGGGTCAAAATGAGCGTTCCCGTCATCGCCCCAGAGAGAGAAACCCCGGCCACCTCGCCTGCTGAGGAGGCGGGCTGCCTGATAAGTAAACCAAGCGCTCTGGACCGCCGGACCCAAAAGGGAGCCCCTGCCTTACCCAGACCACGAAAAGGACCCAGCACCACCGGCCACCCGCCTGAGGCCAGCGTGTCCCCCTGGCAGTCCAGCCACTTGCCCGACAGGGGCTGGAAGCTCCACTTACTGTTATAACTGCTCCAAACCCCGAGACATGGAAAGAAAGAGAGAGGAGCTTTACTCAGGGATGCAGCCACGGCTCCCGGCCGGCCCTCCCAACAGCAAACACTGGTCAGCGGGAAGGGCCCAGCATGCCCAGAGCCCCCGCCTCGCCCTCCTGCAACAGGGAGCTCTGCCGCTTGCCCCCCACAGGGTAGGCACAACCGAGGTCCTGCCCACCCGGCTGGCAGTGAGCTACCCAACGCCCCCCAACCCCCCGGGACATCTCCACCCTTCTGCCCTGCTCTGGTTGCAGCCTGGGAGCCCAGCCCCATTTGGTTTGGATTCACCCCCCTCCCTCCCTCGCCCTTCTCTCTCTCTCTCGAGAAAATGGGCAACCCCAGCAGAGCTCTTCTCTCCAGCAGGTAAGCAGCCCCTCTCACCCCCTCCCCCCGTTGGAAAAGCCTGGCCCTCCCCACAGCCCTGGCTCTCTCTCACTCCTAACTCATGGGTAACCCAACCCAGGTAACCCAACCCAGGGCCGCGCTGGCCAGTAACTGGATGCTCTGGCGCCAGGCTCCATGATCGATGAGGGGAAGGTAGCAGCTTCTCGCAGGAGAGGGCCCTGCCCCCCCCCCCACAATTCAGGGCTCAGGCACTGCAGCCACATAGGGGCCCCACCCCCCAGGAGGTGCAGGCAGCCTGGACACCTCAAAGGCCAAGGACACCCCGCAAAGCGGGGCGGAGGCCAGATGTCCAGGGAGCAGCAGGGCAGCAGCTTCCAATCAGAACCCCAGCCCTGGACCCACCTGCAGCAGCTCCTGGGGAAGGTGGCCTGTGGTTTGCTAATCCAGGAGGTCAGGACTCGCCCTGTGCTCTCTACCCAAAGGCCCAAAGGCTCCCACTGCCCAAGCAAGCCAGGCAGCACGGGGCGGGGAGGAGCGGAAGGCCAGGGCAGGGGCACCAGCCGAGCCCCAGTGGCAGGTGAGCTGTGCTGGGGAGGATCTCTGGGCAGTGGGGCCACCGCTCAAAGGGGCTGAGCTGAGGGGCTCCTGTAGGGCAGCCGGGGAGGCTTCCCGCTGAAGTGGTGCCGTGCCCTGGCCGAGCCTCCCCTCCCCCGAGAGGGCAGGAGAGCGGCTGTGCCTGATTCTCTGTGGAAATTCTCTGAAGCAGCTCAGAGCATCCAGCACCTCCCCAACACCAGTCCCACCTCCCACCGGAGGAAAGGGGGCCCGGCACCCATCCCCCAAGCCCCCAGCCCAAGCCTGGCCAGGCAGCGGCAGCCGCCCTGCGGAACTCACCGGTCCGGCAGAAAGGGTAGGCGTTCCAGGCCTTCTCGTGGATGTCCAGGGCACCCTCAGGGGCCAGCATCCTTACGAAGGGAGGGACTTTGCTGCAGGACAGAGGGGAGGAGAGGTCAGAAGGTCCCGCCAACGGGGCCCGCCTGTCAGCTTTGGAAGCCGTCTTAGTCCTGCCTGTCTCGGAGTTCTCCGTTGGGATTTTCTGCCACCCTGACACTGCCTCCTGCTCTTTCTTTCTGCTGCCGGAGACGGTGGCGGTTAGGGTTTCCAGGTGCCAAGGCCTCCTCCCAATGGACGGGCACCCGGAGGCCATCCCACCCTCCCTCTGGCCGTCCCAGTGCCGCTGGACCAAAAAGGGTTTCCTAGGGACGGAAGGGCACGTTCCAGCACCAAACCCCCAGCCCCCCTTCATCCCTGGTTATAAACCAGCAGGTTGTCTCCGTGGGAACAGGAAGGGTGGCTGGGACCCATCAGCAACAGCAGGTGGGCCGGACTAGCGGTCACCGCTTGGGAGGTTTGGGGGAATCCCTGAGAACAAAGAGTCCGCTTCCAGCGGGGAGGGGGGAGTATCTGCAGCTCAGGGTTGGCCTGTGGGGTCCTCGGTGCATCCATGCGGGGGGATGCATGTGCTTGCTCTGCCAGGGCTTTTTCTCGTTTTGTTTCTGAGGTGGGTCAATTTCCTCCTGACTGATGGTTTGTCTGGTGTGGATCTTTGCTTCTCTGACTGCCGGCCGCTGGAGGGGATGTTTTTTTCAGTTCCTATTCTGATTTTTTATTGTGTCTTTGGTGAACGAGGCTTATCCTTGGTGAGCCTGGATGGCTGATTTGCGTGAATGCCAAGCACCCAGGAATCTCCCGGCGTTTATTGGATTTGGCTCTTTTTGTACCCTTTTCCTTTTCCTGAGTGGGGGTGGGGGGTGTCCTCCCATAGGCCACCTACCTCTGCAAGTGGTATATCTTGTGTGTGTATTGCCCCCGCTCCCCGTCTCGCTCGTAGGGCTCATTCACCAGCACTTCCACCCCTTCGCCCCCACCAGTTTCATTCTTGCTGGCCTCAGCAACGGAGTATAGCTGCCCCACCTGGTACTGGAGGAAGAAAAAAAACGGCAGAGTTAGTGGCTTCCAAACAGGACAGCTGGACACACAGCGAGCCAGCAAGCAGCCTGGGGACCCAACCCTCATACCCGAGGCTGGGGGGAAGCAAAGCACACGGGGGACACTGGGGCAGGAACCAGCAGTTCTGGGCCTGTGAACGACTGCCACGCTGCTAGGAGGGCTGGGAGCTCTGCCCGGGCTGATTCTGCACCCCCTTTGCAGAGCCTTGGCACCCCCAGCCCTGCCCGAGAGCCCCAAGGCCAGCCGGAGGGCATCGGGGCTTAAGGAACCGCCTGCCCAGCGCATCTCCACCCCTCCCCCTCTGCAAGGTACAGTTCAGTCCTGAAGAGGACAGGCTGCTGGTCATCCCCCATTCGTTCCGGCCCCACCAGAACGAGGAGGAGCTCGGGCCCCTCAGGGCAACTCCGGGACCTCCGGGGATCCCAAGTGCCGTTTTCAGGGAGAGGCCTCGCTGCCTCTGCTCTTTGGCCCACTGCCCAACAGAGCAGCCCCCTTCCCTGCTCTTCCTGCATGAGGCCTGGCCCCAGAGGGAGAGGCCAGCCCCTCTGGCAAAATCCCCCTCCTCCCCTACCCACACCTCGGGAGGAGACAGGAGTAGCAGCTCCTGCAGGAGCACAGAGGGTGGCTGAGCAGACACCCACACCCGCTGTGCCCAAACGAGGCCTAATTCAATGACCAGCCTGGCCAATCTCTCCTGGAGCCCCTCGCGTGGCGCGTGCCCAAGAGACACCTCCAGAGGGGCAGCCCAGGACACCCCCTTTGCCCGCAAGGCTTTCCAACCTGCCCATAGAACTGCCCTGTTGGCAGGGGCTTCGGAGGCCGGTCCACCTTGGCACCCATCCGTGACAGCCTCAAGCAGAGCTGCTGCTGCTGCGGCGGCAGTGGCTTCCACCCCCACCAGGGCGCCTTCCAGCACAGGCAGAGAGAGCCAGTGGCCACGCTGCTCCTCTGCAGGGCAGGATGGGGCAGGCAGAAGGCCGGAGCCTGCTTGCTCCTGGCTGGGATGGCAGGGCCCAGGAACGGGCGTCGGCCTCCTCTCCCATTGGAGTGAGAGAGCCGGAGCCAATTGGCAGCGAAATGCTTTGAGACAGCATGCAGCCCTTTGGCTCCCCCACATGGATCTGTGGTGGCCGCCTCAGCCCAGGCTCTGTGTGGGGAACTGAGGCCAAAGGGAATGCCCACCATTGCCCACCAGCACCCCAGACTCCTCTTCACTAGCTGGGCCTTTAAAGGGCAGTTGGGGCTGCCTGCTCCTCTGCCCACACTGTTGTTCACAACTGCTCTGCCCCAACGGATGGCGGTACCTGTGAAGTCATCTCTGGGGCCACCACGGGCCCCGCAGCACCCAAGAGCCTGCAGTCACAGCTGCCCCCCTCCCAGCCTCTGCATCCAGAGTCTCCACAATTCCCGGTCAGTGCTGGTGCCGGGTTCACAAGCAGCCCCCAACACCCCACGGCCCCTGCTGTGATTCTGCAGAGGAAGGGGTGGGAGTGGGCAGCCCAGGGCTTTCCAGAACTGGAGGATTATGGACGCTGAATAGTCAACACGCATTTGAAGGCTGTGGCTGAGCACCTCAGGGCACAATCTAGAGGACTAGAAGAATGGGAAGGTTTATGTGAGGAGAAGCATGAACCTAGGCGAGTGCACAAACATGGAGGGACGGCAGAGGATGGCTAGGCAAGAGCGTAAGCACAGCCCTGTAGGATGAGGCCAAGGCCCAGCATTTCGCTTCTCGCATATGCCTCTCATGGCGGCTCCCTTGGCATTGAAAGGCCTGCTGCCCCAGCCCGCAGGACACAGCCAGACAGACACGTGACACCCATCCGTGGCGATGACTGGGAGGGCACTGTCAATCAAAGGGTTACAATACGGAGTTTTGGTCTGAGGGGACTTGAGAGGCGCAGGTGGAAAGATGGTCAATGTCTCCCCATCAGGGAGGCACAATTGGGGCGGGCCAGTACTGATGGGATACAGAAGTGGACCCTCTGAAAAGGTGCTCGTTTATAAAAATGGGTTTATTCCTTGGCTAACCCCGTGTTAACCTAATTATGCACTGATATCTGATATCTGCCCTGCGTTCCACCCAGCTTGGATACCTGATGGACTTAAAGAGCCAAAATTAGAGAAAGGGTTTCAGTAGGGGGAGGCAGAACAAAATAACCGTAAGAAAAAGATTTCTTCAAGGAGGGTGCATGACCCGGTCCTCCAGGAATTTTCCAACCACTTTTATGGCCATTCCAGTGAGGGGTTATCCCCAGAGCATGCAATAATGACAATCGGTGCTTGAGAAAAAGCAAGAGAGAGTCACAAAAAGGAACAGTAGTGCTTTTTCAGGAAACCAATTTTCATACAATAAGTGTGTTTCACACAAACTTTCTTGCAATCTTGTTCCTTCTTCTTCCTAACCATAAAAAAGCTCAAGAAAGAAAACACTCAGCCAACATACGAAGTTGTACAATTCTTGCAAAGTGACAGTAACACTCAAAAATAAAAATTAAACTTGGGCAAAGAGTTGTCATGCAGGAAAGCCAGATCACACTTCTGAGCTGCTCACAGGCAAATGGAACTGCCCTTTCTACCAGTGTACCAGAATTTCACCCAAAATTGCTAGGAATTGCTTGAAGAACTCATCAACCCATTTCCTCTCCACTCCTAGGAGTTCCCCTACTACATCTAAGGCAGCGTTCTTTGCCTACAAAGGCAGAAGCTGCAATAGTTAATTTGCAACCCGCCACACAGCAAATGCCCAAGTTTGGCTGGATGTCTTGGAAGGGGAAGGGGCAAGAAGGGAAGGAATATTAATCTCCATTTTTCCTGAGCTTTGGCCATAGCCACAAGTTCGAGCAAGATGGATGGAAGACTGACAAAAGTTTTTTTCAATGGGCTGAGGGCACCCCACACCCAAACTGATCAAGCGGTCCATCGACTGTGTTGCCTGGGGGGGGGGGTGTTTCATATAGTTTTTTTAATGTTGTAAGCCAACGGGAGTCATCTGTGTGTGAGTCGGGTGGCCAAATACATTGGTTTAGTAAATAAAATAAAAGCAGGGAAGGCATGACTTACCTCCTCCACCGACACAGGCAAAACGACGCGGCTGCAAGAGAGCAGAAGAAACGGAGTTAGGCAGCAGCCTCGCTCGCTCGCCCGCTCGCTGCAAGGCGGGCAACCCGACACCGCCGGGAACCACCCAGAGATCCGCAGCCCGAGCTGCCTTCGCCCGGCTCCCAAGAAGACAGTCTGGGCTGACTTAAGACTTAGAGGACGCTGCCCTGGCCGACCGGCCCCCACGCCCCCCTCCCCGGGAAAGCACTAACGGCGCAAGCCGCGAACGGGCGCCGGCCGACGGGATCCAACTCGGGGCGTCCGCTCAGCCCCCCCCCCCCAACTCACCAGGCAAAGCGGCTCCCAGCAGCAGCGCCCGTGGGGGGGAAGGGAGGGGGGCGCTGCACCGACCCACAAGGCCGCCAGCGGGGGGAGGGAGGGAGGCGGGGGGGGGGGAGGGGCCGCGGGGGGGGGGGGGAGCTGCTCCAAGCCAGCCCGGCCGGTGCTTCCAAGCTTCGGAGGAGCCCCCGGGAGGGACGGACGGAGGGGGCTGAACGGGCGAGTTCCGCGGAGCCCCCGGCGCCATCCTTCCCCAGACCCCCCGCCCCCCCCGGGTCACGCGGTCCAGCCCCTCTCCGGCAGCCCCCCGGGCGCCCCCCCGCCCCCCGGAGGTCACGCGGGGAACCCCCCCCGTGGCCAAGGGCGGAGCGGCTGGAACCGGAAAGCCCGGGCGGCCAAGGACGGGGGGGTGGGCGACGAATCCCACCCCGTCACGCAGGAGCCGGAGGGGCGGCGCGTCTCCCGGGAAGGCCGGGCCGGCGGCGGGACCTTCAGGGGTCCTTGGCCGGGGAGCCCGGCCCGCCAGCCCCGCTCCCCGCCGCGGCGCCCGGCTGAGTCAGGCGGGGGGGGGTCGCCCCTGCGGGCCCTGGAAGGGACCCGCTCGCCCCGCCGAATCCCCCCGCGCCCCCGGAACTCCCCTCGCTCACTATTCTTTGACGACCACCATGGCGGGCGCTGCTCCGCTGGCTCCGGCGCGGCCCCGCCGCCCGCCCGCCCGCCCGCCCGCCCGCCTATCCGTCCGTCCTCCGCTCGGCTGTCCGTCGCCCAGCGGCCCCTCCGTCCCCGGCGCCGCGCTCGGGGTTCCGGCCGGGAAGGGGAGGCGGGCGCACCGGGCGGCGTTCCTCGGCAACAGCCTTGCGTCACCGCGCGGCGTCCAACGCACGACGTCACGCGCGCGGAGGAGGCGGCGCCGTCCTGGCTCCCCTCGGCCGGCGGCGGGCGGGGAAAGGAAAGGCCGCGAGAGCGCCGCCCCGCGGCGAGGAGAGGAAGCGGCGCCCGTGGAACGCCAAGTGCCGCACTGCCGAGCGCGCGCCGGGAAAAGCGCCCCTTGTCCGCCAGCGGCGTTCGAGAGCGGCCCGGCTGGTTCCGAAGCTCTCCGGACACGGCTCGGGTGCCGACCCCCTAACGCCGTCCGAGGTGCCGAAGGAAAGCCCCGATCAAAAAGCCCCCGGGGCGCCCGTGGAGGGTTTCGGGGGGGGGGGGGGCGCCCCCTGCAAGGAGAGGCGCCGCAGAAAAGACCTTGCAGCCCCC